AACAAAAATGCTTTAGCTCAAGTGATCGAATTTCCATTTTTCTCCCATTTGGTGACGTGCTCTCCTCGTTCGCGTATAGTCACGTTCAAAGTAATCTTCATGTTTTGTTCATCAATTAACCATCATCATGTTTCAAAATTGCAAGGCAAATCTTGAAAAACAGTGACTGAACTTGATTGCACCACCATCCATCACCACCATTCACCATCGTCTAAACCACCAGCACCACCTTTACCTCCATTGCACCACCATCACCACCACCCGGTGCCTCCATTGCACGACCTCCACCACCACCTCACTCGCACTATTTGACTTCACCTGCACCACCAACACCTCCAACTCACCACCACCACTACCACCTCCAATGCAACAAATAAAAAATTGATTATGCCAAAAAGGGACGCTGTACTAACTATTCACCTTCAATCGCCTCCAAAGTCATCGAACCACCCACAACTATAGCCCAAAATATCTCCTCAACATCCACTTACCTTTGATTGGAGCCTCATCCCCTCATGTAGACCGCACATCCAAAAATTAGCAAGGAAAATCGCACCAAATCGACCCACAAAATTCCCCTCCACCGTCAGAACCCACCACACCAAAACACCACCATCTCAACCGTACCCACCAACACTAGAGCGAGATCAAGGAAAGTGCTAAGAATCGATAGTTGAAGAGTAGCAAAACCCCAAAAATCAAAGCTCACCTTCGCCTCCAACAAATCGGCAATTTTCCTTGCTAAAAGGTAACATTTAACTTGGATATTTAACACCATCGAAAATCAGGAAGGAAAATCGCACCAAATTTTCGTCGCTTCACCCAGTTGGAAGGAAAATTGCACCAAATCAGCAAGGAAAATCGTACCAATATGCGGGAAAGATACAAACAGGAAAGTGTAATTTCACTTTGACCCGGTCAAATGACTTTTTAAAATGGGTATGGCTATTGGGCCGAGTATAAGTGATTGGGCCGAGTATAAGTGAAAATTCAAAATTTGAATTTCAAACGTTTTTTGCAAACTGGTTAGCAGAAATTTTTTTTCATTTTTGTTTACCCCATTTTCTACCTTACTATGTCAAAGCCTGTGTCAAAAGCTATGGTTAAGTAGCATTATTCTAATTAAGTTAGGTAGCAAGTAATGTCTTGGCTGCTGGATTCAGTCAATTATGCTACTCAATAATGGTGCTAGATGGAGTTGCATGGTTGGCTTATTATAAATAACCTCTAATATTACAGCACTTGCTCAACAAAACATGAATAGTCCTCGCTTGTGCTAAATAAAAGATCGATCATAGATAGGATTTTACCTTCATTTTCTTTCTTTAAAAGTGTCCAAAGTTATCTAATCATCTCTAGCATGCATGTCATTAGGGCACGATTTGTTCTATTCACATTATCAAATAAGTGATAGTGAATGAATCAATTGCTAGTCAAACTTGAAAAATTAGATGACTGTGCAAAGATGAAGGAATTAGTATACCTTGATTAGTAATTGCTGGTATAATGTTTCCACNTCAAACTTGAAAAATTAGATGACTGTGCAAAGATGAAGGAATTAGTATACCTTGATTAGTAATTGCTGGTATAATGTTTCCACTGAAGATTGAATGTTAGATAGGAATTTACAATTTTGTTAGGTTTTGAGGTAATTGACAATTCTGTGAACAAAAAGGATCAAATTGAAATTATGTAAAAGTCAAAAAGTTAGGTGCAATTTCTTATAGTTGTGTTAGGTAAGCTAGGGTTCAAGCTCGAAATAAGAAAAGAAGAGCCGCCGCAATTTCGCTTCCCTCTCGCCAACACATTGCTCAAGTGATAAAAATAGAATGGACGTTGCTAGCTTGTCACCAATATGTCGCTTGAGTGAAACACCGTCGCTCGCTTTTCACTGGGGTATTGCTCAAGCGACAATACTTATTGGAAAACCCTATTTTGATGTTTTCGAGAATTTTGACAGGACCATACTACCCAAACCGTCCATTGTATAAATACCTGCATTGTTTCACGAAAAAAACTTTGGATTACTCATTGTGAGAAAATATATACACTATTCCTACATCATTCAATCTATTGATCATTGAGACTTGCAATTGAAAAACATCAAAACCCATAAATCAAACACAAGAAACCCATACTTCCAGAGTATTTATCAAATGTGGAAGATCAAAGAAGATAACTGAAGTTCTGGCTGTTGGGAAATAAGGAGTTCTCAAAAACCCACAGGAGATAGATAAAATCAAAATATCGGGAGTTGTGCGAGAGCACACAATCCTGGAGAACTTTGGGAATTACAGTTAGGAGGTCAGAAAGTACTTGCATTAATCGAGTCTGGCAGTACTGTAAGTTGATTTGTTTATAGTAGATTCATACTAGCTTGGACCCAGAGCTTTTAATCCTGCTAGGGGTTTTCTCCATCATAAAATATCCCGTGTTATTTATTTTTCAGCAATTTATTATACAATGACAATTTAACATAGGGTAGATGACATGTGAATTCATCTAAACTAATTAAAAACTATGACTTATTGCAATTTTTAATTAATTTGCTTAAAATTTCGTGTAAACACTTATTCATCCCTCTTCTAGGTCTTAGTTGGGCTGAACTACATAACTTTCAGATTTTTTCCTAAATTTGTGCAATGCCTTGTTGGTTTTCTAAGTTTTTGGCATAAATGGGAGGTTTGAACGACACGGATAAGAGTCTTGCCCTGGCATATCATCCTTGGGCTACACAAATATGGTCTAGCTGTAGTCACAGCTGAGACGGGACTTCTTGAAAAGATAACATTCTTGCAAGCTAAAGGAAACATATAGAGCCCTTGTCTGGGAGGGCTTCTTAGCAAAAAGGTGACCGTTGGCAACAAATTTATTACCGTTGCTAGCCAACATTTTTGACCCATCGTCTCACGAGTGGGTCCTAACTGACCACCTAACAATCATAATCGCAATTTTAATCAGGTTGAAAAATCTGTGTCAGACAACCCCTGAAGCGTAGCACAAAATCAGCAATTGTAAATGGATTAGGACTCGGGTTGGCTTTGTTGGGAAGGGTTATAATATTAGTAGCAGTAACACCAAAACAACAAATTCCAAAATTTAAGATCATGGTTTCAAATTAGTGCTTTATGAACTAATAGGGAGGTTTATCCAAAATTGCTAAGTGTATCGTAGTATTCTGTATTGATTGTTCTTGAGTGTTCAAGTTGGGTTATTAGTGTTAATGTTGAAAAGCATGAAAATGGCTTAGGTTCCACTTTGCAAGAACTCCAAATCATTGTCGTGTAGCTCATCCTCTTGATCTTAACTCATGAGCTTGCACCAGAATGACGTAGGTCAATAGGGAAACCCTAATTCATTAGGCTTTTCAATAAAATCTCTATAAGTTGTAGGTTGAGGGCTCATTTTCCCTCCCCATCTTCAAACTCTATTTCGTATTTTCCGTTTTGCACCTTTTTAAGGAATTTTTCGATTCAGACCAAAGAAGCAATGTCGCTCAATTATTATTTAAGTGTGCAATCTTTTTCTGTTAATGAGGATGTCATTTGCTATTGATGCTTTATTATTATCATCATCATCATCATCATCATCATCATAAGTTAGTCAATTAGGATTTGTTGTTTATAGGTACCTCTTGTTTGAATTATCAAAACAACTTTGTTTAGAAGTTTTAGTAGTTAAGAGAGAATAGATTTATTTGTTTTTATTTTATTTTAAAATATCTCCTCACGTGAATTCTTGACTGATTTTTACTGGAAGTCTGACACGGACTTTTATTATTGAATTGTGATAAGACTTGAACACTTAATATTAAATAGCCTCATTTAAAATTTACCACCATTCTCTTTCTCTCTCTTATTTTCAATCACATAATCTTTCATAAAATAATATTAAACATAAAAAAAAAAATTTCATTCTTTTTCAACTATATATTTTTCCAAAAAAATTATTCCAACAATTAAAATTTCAAAAAAATGAGGGTCAAACGAAAGCTTAATTAGAGATGTGATGAAGTTGTCCTTAAGTTATAAAGGTACTTTATTCCTTTGTTTCTCATCATTTTCACTAAGATGGAGAATATATGAATATTGCTTCAACTGGTAGTTTCATGGCGTTGGAATGGCAAAGTGGAAGTTTCGAGGTAAGTTAGCTATTCGCCTATCCTGTGCCTCACCCTGCCTCCCTTAAGATGGGGCAATAAAATTAAATTTTTCTCTTTAATTAATGCTAAATGTGGCAGGGTGATCACACTTATCCCCTTCCCGAAACCCGCCTTGCCAACCCACATGGCAAGGACAAGGAGTTACCGTCCTCTTCGTCCCTGCAGCTCACATGCCAATTGCCATCCTTACATGGTTGCTAGTCTCTGCTTGGAAGGGTTACAACATTGAGACTTGTTCGTAATCACTTAAAGTTTTGTAGACACTAATATTTTTAATAATATACGTGCTAACTTCTTTCATATTTTTATATCACTCTAAATTTAGCCCTAGTTTGGGTGGGGGATTAAAATAAGAATTTAATAGATTTTAACAAAAGTAGATCAAATGTATGGTTGAAAAATTGTTAATTTCATAGAATGTGTGATTAACGGTTTTGCTAGTGGTATATCGGGGTGTACCTAATGGTGTACACCCCACTTACATGGACGAATAATTCACTCGAATAAAATATCACTTCTTTTACATGGGTCTCACACCCATGTGAGTGAGGTGTACACCATTCGGTACATCCCATTATGTACCACTAGACAAATTCGTGTGATTAAAATTAGTTATTGGTTTTGATTTAGATTAAAGGGTTTCGCTACATATACCCGGACGTGAATATAACATTTTTTCTAGATTATAATTTGAATTTTAATTTCTATCAAATAAGACTTAGTTTATTATCAAAATAACTTATTAATTTAAAATAAAAACATAAATAATTTGTAAATGTTTTTTCACCTTGACCACCAAACTTTAAATTATTTCGTTTACGGCACTGAACTTTAAAGCGAAGAAAATTGAGAGTGCAAAACTTCCCGTGGAATTCATAAAAACTCGTTAATGGTTTTTATGGAGAAGGCATCAGCATAATCTTCAATCTAGTCTCATATACATCCAGTGTACACCAATTCCATCTTACTCTGTGAACCCTAACCTGAACTTTCTGGACCCATAAAACCCCTATAACTCGAAGATGTGCTCCTCAATGTCACTTTCTTCACTTTCGTTGCCCTCAAATGCCCCCTTGTTATTTCACCACCGTTTTAATTTCAGTTTTCCTGCAAACCCATGTTTCGTCAGGCCCAGAAACCTCAGGACCTTTTCATTATCAGCTTCAATTGTTGAGAAAAATTCAAGGGTTGAATTGAATTGGGTTTCTTGTGACAAAAATACCCCTGACGAGTATAATGGTTGGGCCATTGTGGAAGCTGCTCCCAAGACAATAAATAAGAAGAGTAAAGGTTTGATCTTTTAACTTTTATAAGTCCTAATGTTGACGACTTTATAAATTTTGGCCATCTGAGGCTAATTACGAAATGGGTTTTTGAAGGTTTGCCTACAGCTTTGGTAATTGGCGTTGGAGCTTCAGTTACTGTTTTACTTGGTTTTCTTGCCTATTTTTCACTCTCAAGAAAAGGTTGCGTATTCCCCTGATTTTTCTTTCTTTCTTTTTCTTTTTTTAATTATTGGTAACGACATTGGTTGCTGAACAGTGTTTTTAACTTGATGGAATATTTATATAACTGGATTGCGTTGCTGGTATAATTTTTATTTTGCTTCGTCAGGTTTTAGGTTTCGAATCAGAAGCCCATTTAGTGCTTTACATGGAATTTCAGTGCCTTTTTTAATTGATGAAAGAGACATTGCTACTGAAAAGGCTAGTTCCAATGTGTCATTGGGAGATCAGGAAGTGCCTGAAGATAGCTTAGAGTCTGAGGCAGTCACTGAAAACATGGCAACAGGTATTTTAATCGATGAGTTTTGAAGTTAATTTATTCTGTTGTCTTTTTAGTTGATCATATTGCTGATCATATAACATGATAATGCATGACTACTCAGTCTAATTGCTATTACTTAGCTTATAATTCGAGTTCTTGAAACTTGCTAATGAATATAACAATATGGTTCTGAAGTTGCATTCGATGTGGATAATCTATTTTTGCATTGTGTTTTTATATATTGTCTTAGCTAGCTAGCTGTTATTGATTTGATTATAACTGCATTACTGAAAAATCTATTAATATGCTTTTCTTGGAAAGAAAATGAACTTTAGGAATTCGAATTAAACTAGTTCTTTACAACCATTTGTCTTCATAAGAATTTGTCTAACTTTTTCCAGATTCAAACTTATAACGCTTTTGATGAACAATTAGTAATTTGTGATGACATGTTATTTCCTCATTGGTCTATTTAGAGCCCGTTCCTTTCCCAAACATGTTTTGATAATTTATGTCTAACATTTATAAAAAAGTTGCTTATTTTGAAAGTAAACACTTACCTTATTGTCAACACAAGAAACTTACTTATTTCTAACTTAGAGTAATGAGATACTATATATTTTCAAACTTATTTATATATAAGTAAAATTTTAAGCTTAGCCAAATATACTCTTGATTTGAAGTGCAGTATCCATCTTGTAGGGGGTGTAGCAACTTCTGATTCCGATATTTGGAAATGTTCCACTTAAAAACGTGCAACAGAAACAAGTTTCATGAATGTGAATGCATTGTTTGTTGCTTATAATCCCATCAGCTTTTATTAGTGCTTTCCATCTAGTGAATATTCCTATTGATGCATGTATTATGATGACAGTCTAGGGAAATATTCCCTCCTTCGAATTAGCTTCCTCATATTTAGTGATCCTAGCTAAGTTGTTCTTGATTACTTCTGTCAAGATACGAGCCATAGTACAGTGAAAGATAGAAGCCTGGAGCATATTGTAGTTCCATTTGCTGTGGATGTCACTCAACAGGAAGCTCTATTAGTGCTAAAGAAACTGAAGGTACGTTATAAGTAGCATATCTCATGTTCCAGTGATACAGTTTCCACTGCCTTAATTTATTTTACTACAAACTCTGTAATGGCCATTTCCTCCCCTCTTTCCCTCCTTTATCCCCTTCCGATTTCTTGTTTTTTCCAACTTCTGCCAGTTTGTTCAAGCTCTGAACTTCCGCTTTCTATCTTTGTACACGCATGTGTATGATCCCTTCGTAGAAGTATATTACAGTCAATAAGTTGTAAAAGATTAATGCGAATTCTAATAATATTATTAGGAGTGAATAAGCTAAGTTTGAACTTGGGTGGTTATACTCGTTTGGAATAATGTTGTGTTAACACTCTTAACACCCCCCTATTTCCTAGTCCTTGAAAGAAAAGGAATTCTGTTTACATCCATCGATAGTCCAAAATACTTTCATGCTTTTGCAATGAGATAAGATAGTTTGGTATTTGGATTGAAGCTTTTCAGTTCTGAGCATGGTTATTATGATTGTGGTCGAGATATACAGATTACTGAAGACGATGTCAAAGCAGAACAACTATGTACAAGACGGGAATATGCAAGATGGTTTGTTCGGGCAAATTCACAACTGGAAAGGTAGTATCAGGTTCAAACATAATTTAAACTATTCTAGTTTATTAAAATACTTTATCCAAGTGCTATTAGCTGGTTCTGATTACCAGTTTGTTCTCTGGTCTGCAGGAGTAGGAAACATCAGATAATTTCATCTGCTTCACTTTCTGGTTCTACATTTACTGCATTCGATGACGTAAACCTGCAAGACCCTGATTTTCAATTTATTCAATGTAAGGCTTTGTCATGATGTCACCCAATTATCTTGTGTATGTTCTCTTACGAGAAACTGTTTGAATCGATTGTCGAACTTGTAATATAGCACTAGCTGAGGCTGGTATTATTAGAAGCAAACTATCAGAAAGAAGCTCAAGCACTAGTCTGGATGATTTAGAATGCGATGCATGCTCCAATTTCTGTCCTGACAGGTACTTTAACTGTGCTGAACTCTGTGTCCCTCCATCCATCCTCTACAAAGTAAAAATTATCCACCGCAGGTTTATATTTCATTTGTGCTGAAAATCATACTGATTGGTGTAATAGGTTTGTATCTCGGCAGGATCTGATTGGTTGGAAAGCAAAGGTAGAACATGAAGTCAGACCAGAAATTACTGAAGAGGTAGGGAGGAAACTACAGCTTATTACTGTTTATTTTTGCATCAAATGAAATGTACAGCATTGACTTGACGTTTTGGAAGTTCTCTCTCAAAAATTGACTTCATTTGCAGCTCAGATGTCAAGTAAGAACATTGGATTTCTTGATGTGAGAGAGATCTCTTCAGATGTGCTGGTGGATCTTTTCCTGGACATTCTAACAGATGAAAAGAGCATACTCAGAAGAGTTTTTGGTCTCTCTCTCTCACTTCTCCCTCCTCCCTTCCCCTCCCATGTCCCCCAAATCACACAGTACCCCCAGCTTACGTGCACATTCGCACAAAACGAGGGAAATGAAAAGGCAGTTGTGATACTGCAGGATTTAACTCACAACCTGTTCATAATCAAAGATTTGTTGCTCACAGTTAATGCACTCAATTAACTGTTTCATGGTTAATTGTGGTTTGTTTGCTGCGGGTGGTTGAGAATACAAACTATCTTTCAATTTTGCCGATTGTTTAAGATAACTTAGGCTTTATATTGATTTTGTTCAGATCATATGAACACCTATTATACCTGCTACTTTCTTTATAACATAATAAATGACAAGAACTACATGTTATTCACAGGACAGAGCAGGCGATTTCAACCCAGAAAACCATGCACAAACGCCCAGGCAGCAGTGGCACTGACCAGTGGTAGAATGATGGAATTTATACGTGCTGAAATATTAAGGCTGGAAGCTGAGAATTCTTCAAGAGAAACTGAAATTGAAGAAATAAAATCTGAGCTTCTAGAGAGAGGTGAGATAAAGCAGAAATGGAAAAGAAAGATGGATGAAGAAAGAAGTCGTGGTTTAGAAGTGGAAAGGGACTATCTTTCAGCCGTCACTGCTTTGGAACAGGAGAAGATTGTTCAAGAGAATGCTTTAGCTGAGTTTTTGAAGCAGAAGGCAGCATTGGATTGTCAGAAACAGTTGCTTTCTACTCTAAACGAAGAAGTCGTAGAGAGGTCAGAAAGGCTTGCTTCCGAGCAGACCAAGTATATAAATGAGCAGCACGCTGTACAAGATATGCTTGGGACTTTGCAGGTGAAATACGAAGGACTACATGATGAAAAATCAATATTGGAAGCTGAAGTGGAAGCCATTCGTATACTAAGGTAAAAAAAATCAAGGCTGAGCCGCTCTACCATTGTCTACAAGAAGCATTTTTGCCAAGCAAGAACTGCTTTTTTAGCGGTTTTTTCAGCAGCATGTCTTTAGGACCATGTCGATCCATCCCAAAGTAAAAACTCTATGGACACATTGAGCAGAACTTTAAACCACAAATTCATCTTATAATTTCAACATAAATTAAACAATAAGAACCACGCTAAATGTTCCCTGAAACTTTGGCTTCTTCCCATCTTAGTATTTTTAAATTCACCATTCACTTAGTGAATGTGTGTTTGCTTATGGTAGTATCAAGATTGGACATGTCACTATGCTTTACTAATGGAAGCTGTCTACAGATCTTGGATTGAGGACGAAGCAAGAAAAAGCCAAATCCGTTCTAAGGTCCTTGAGGAGGCTGGACGAAGGTGGAAGTGGATCAATCAGTCGTGAGGTCGTCTAGCTAATAAAGAACTTCATTGGGGAACTGCCTGAAGAAATATGCTCTAGGGATGAACAGGCCAGAAGCTATGTTAGGAACCTGGGTCAAAACTTTTTATCTGCTAGGATGCTGATATTGTGTGCATTGTTTTTGCTTGTGAAATGAAATTTAAAGTTTTGTTAAGATTCTCAAAGCTCTGTGAAATTCAACATTTTTGTTTGCTAATAAGTTCTTCATTAACTGCAGTGCAGACGGCACTTGACATATCTCAAACTTGACTGTTTTACTGCGCCCTGGGAACTGTGGGATTATGTTTGGCATGTTGAATTAGATTGTAGAAGCATTTATAAGTTTTATTATTTAGAAGAACGTTATTTGTATTATCTTTCATATCGGATTAAATTCAACTCCTCGTTACGGATTATATTATCCGATTAAATTAAGAAAGAGTTTAAATAATATTCTTTTCATAGAATATTAAAAAATATTGTACACCTTAGTCAAACCTAAAGATGCGTTTGGTTATATTTAAAAGTAAATAAAATTTATATTTAGACTGCATGATATGTCAATTTGTCAAAGTTTTTTTTATTTAAAAAGAGTTACTTTGCACGTTTTCAATATGACCCAACCAAAACTTAGAGCATTTTCAATAAGTTCTTTATTTTTCCTATTCTCTTTATTTTAGATATTTATCATCATTTTACTTAGCTCAACAAGCTTTTTACCTTTACAAAAAAAAAATAATAATAAAATAAAAATGGGTGTGGAATAAGCATCACTCATACTAAGTACGATTTATGTGATATTTCGCCGCTCGGGGCATAATTCAGTGGTGCAAAAGACAGGAGTGAGATAGTCTCAGCCTTAATGACAGCCGCAGTGTGAGGATTCGATTTTTGAAATATGAAATTGAATTCTTTGTGGGCATCATTATACAGGCAAGCTCTTATTCCCTGGCCTGCTAGGATGCATTCCGTAATTTACCTCCCTCGCGATACTCTATAGACGGGTCCATGGGGCCTCAAGGTTGGGGTTCAACCTTGATTTATGTGATATTTCATTAAATTGCGACCAACCTGCTTCCCAAAAAGCTGTCAATTTTTTCCTTTCCTCCAGGTATTTACCTTTAATTGAAATAAATATATGCCTTTCAGTTTGTCTTTCGGTTAAATTTTCTGGTTTCTTGGACTGTTTTTCAGATAAGTTTTAGTTTTACTTTTCCATTTTCTTCCCCAATATTTGATGGGGCCTCAAGGTTGGGGTTCAACCTTGATTTATGTGATATTTCATTAAATTGCGACCAACCTGCTTCCCAAAAAGCTGTCAATTTTTTCCTTTCCTCCAGGTATTTACCTTTAATTGAAATAAATATATGCCTTTCAGTTTGTCTTTCGGTTAAATTTTCTGGTTTCTTGGACTGTTTTTCAGATAAGTTTTAGTTTTACTTTTCCATTTTCTTCCCCAATATTTAGATGTTATGTAATTGTATAAACATAAAATTGCTGCAGTATTGAACTTGACATATTATGAGAAGTGAAAAAACTGGATGCAAATTAAAAACTTAATTATCATCTTTTTGGGTGGGGCTTCATTAGAATGAGCAGAGCCAGCCAACAGGTAAGTGGTCCACAATTCAGAGTCCAGACTAGAGCACAGTTGGGACCCGGAGCTTATTTTATCATATTATCGTCAAGTTTCTTAGCCAAATTTTTAATTTTTTCCAATTTTACCTGTTTGTTGAATGGTTAAATTCGGTACTTGTGTCAAGAACTGTAAATCTGCCTGGTATTTAGTGCTCAATGCTCTGAAGACAGAACCACTAATTCTGAGGATAATACTTTGGCTTTTCTTGGGGGGACCTGAACTGCTGGACCCATGTTGTAGAGAATAATGCATTCAATTTTTCTATTTCATATGGTTTTCATTTTGTTCGATTTAAATGAAACATACCAAATTCTTCGGCCAAATGACTCTCAGTTGATGGGTGGAGTCCACATTTTCTTCAGTTTTCACCTTCGTTTGCATGTTCATTTTGCAAAGGAGTTGCTCTTGGCATGTGACTGATTTCTAGTTTTCAGTATATATCTTCAATCGTATTTATGCACCCACCAATCTGTTTGTTCAAATTATTTGTATATGTCGTAAAGGCGTAGTACTGATGGTAATGTCAAATTGTGGATAACCTGATACCTGATCATAGTTTTCACTTATCCTCTTGACCACACATTAACCTAAATATTTAGTCCATACAAGTGGCGGATTTCAGGGGTGGCCCTTTCTGGGTATCCAATGCAAGAGAAAACTTGGACTCTTCTTCTCTAATATAGGCTACAAAGTGAAAACTTGGTGGACATAGTCAGATAGCTCTTGGTTAAGACGGATTGAGCTTAAAGTATGTTTGGGGAGTGTTTATAAATGGTTTAAATTATAAATAGATAGAAATAATGTATAGTGGATAAGTGAGTAATATTTGAGGGTTTCTTGGAATGTATTGATAAAAAATGGCTTTGGTGTTTACAAACATGAGCCAGTAGGCCTAATCCATGATAAGCAAGAACTTTTGAAATAATCACGAATAACCTTTCCTGAAAAATATAAAAAGTTGCAAAAAAATAAAATAAAAATAATAATAATAATAAAATTGCATTATTTGTATATGTGCTTTTTTGTAATGAGTCATACTTTTCTGTCACATATGAAGAAAGAGGGTAAAAATGTTTATGTTGAGCCTAATAAACCCAAAATTTTTAATAGGGCAGACAATAATGAGAACGCCACTATATGGGCAAATAGGTCAAATCATATGGTGCAATGCATAAAGTTTAGTTTAATCTGCTTTCTTGTGACTAACATTATCTATATGCACCAGTATATTTAAGCAAAGCCAGGAATTAAATCTCAACTTGACCTTTTTCTTACCCACTAACCACTTTCCTCTATTTCTTGTACCAGCCCAAAAATTTACATGCCATCTATGTACTTGTCCCTTGGACTCATTTTGTGCATGTAAGTTCCCCCTCTCCACCATTTACATCACAAGAATCACACATGATGCTATAGAAATAGTCGTGCAAAATTCAAGACTAATCATGAGCATAGGGTTTCGGGGGGGACTCGTGATATAGATAAGCTTTAATATTATGTTTCTTGTTTTGATTAATAGATTTGACTAGTTTGTTTTTGTCTAACGAAGAAAAGAAATTTCACTTGTTGAAGGATTTGAGTGGACGAGAGGCAGCCAGTTAGCAGGATAACAGATGTGCAAGGAATAAATCGAAAGGAAATTGTATCCAACCAGAGATGGATGTGGTATTAAAGATAATACACATTACCTGCATCTTTAATTGTCCATTTTTCTGAAAGAAGAATTTGAAGTTAGACCCATCCATTTGGAGAATTTCAATCCTCTTAGAAAAAGACTGTCCACAAGAAATTGGTGGCCCCTGTAGCTCTTATATGACAATTGTGATGGAATTGTATTTATCAGAAACTTTGTTGTAGAATAAAGATTTTTCTGTGAATGGTCTATATACCTGATAAGAAGATAATGCTAGTGATGTTGAGATGTTAATATTTAGGATAATTAATGGAATTCCCATAAATTCAGCATTAAGGAGCTTCCTAACTTTGATATTTCTTCAGGGACAAACCAAGAGTTACTTGGCAGGTCTGAAAAAAATTCTGATTCTCAGGCCTGTTGAATTTAACTGGATTCATGGCCTGAAATATGAGCTTTGGGTTAAAGATCAACGCGTGAAGGGCTGTTCGAGAGTCGAGACACTGTTTGTCTCAGTAGATGATTGGAAAGTTCAGTGTTACCTATCAAAAATACCTACATGATAGTCAGGTTAGGCTTCTTGGTTGCTGCTTCTGTTGCAGCCTATGCAGTTCAGCAGGTTAATATCAGGAGCTCGAGGTCATCGGCTTCTTTAACCAAACCTTCAGGTACTTCATTCCTTGAGTGGTGTTTATCTGTCATTGGTTCTTGTTTGTACTAAATTTATCAAGAGAAAAGGATAAAAGTTTCTTTTATGTGCAGAGATATAACTTGAATCTGAACATTTTAGTGATAAAGTTGTCTAATGGATATTCTAATTTATCCAGGATAAATATGGCCTCTCATGTAATAGAAAAGAATAAAGTTTGAATTGTTGGTTTATTTGTAATTCAGAAAATGATGAAGCTACTGCGAATGAAGGAGAAAACAAAGAGCAGTTTACATATTCCGATGAAGGCCTCAAAGAAGTGGGGGTAAGTTTTGAGAAACGCCCTAGAATAATTCCTTCACTTGTCCTTTGCACTTTAATGTAGTGTTAGTAGATTTTAATTGTGGTCTGCTTGTTCATGTTCTTGACCTTATTTGATGTCTTCTTACAATATTAATTAATGATTTCAGTTTTTAACATTCCGTAAGATGTTTCACGAATTGCAGGCCGAGGAAGAGGAGAAAGAAGAAGTTAAATTAATTAATGGAATAATAAATCCTGCCATAAGTAATCCATATGACCTTGAAGATGAGCTTTACCCAGAATTTGAAAATCTTTTATCAGGACAAATTGACTTTCCATTGCCTGCGGACAAATATGATACCGAAGCCCATTCCAGAGAACAGAAAAATAAAGTTTATGAAAGTGAGATGGCAAATAATGCAAGTGAACAGGAACGACTGCGAAACCTAGTAAAAGAGTTAGAAGATAGAGAGGTGAAGCTTGAAGAAGAATTGCTTGAATATTATGGCTTGATGGAGCAAGAATCAAATATTGCTGAATTACAAAAGCAACTTAAAATTAAGACAGTGGAGATTGAGATGCTGAACATTACAATAAATTCATTGCAAGCTGAGAGAAAAAAGCTTCAAGAGGAAGTGTCTCTAGGAGCTGCATCTAGGAAAGAACTCGAGGTAGCGAGAAAGAAAATAAAGGAACTGCAAAGGCAAATTCAGCTTGAGTCAAACCAGACGAAAGGCCAGCTCATATTGCTTAAGCAACAAGTCAGTGGACTTCAAGCCAAGGAAGAGGAAGCCATCGTGAAAGATGCTGAGGTAGGGAAGAAGCTTAAAGCTCTGAAGGAGTTAGAGGTGGAGGTTATGGAACTTAAGAGGAAGAACAAAGAGCTTCAGCATGAAAAGAGAGAGTTAATAGTAAAATTAGATACCACTGATGCCAGAGTAAATGCCCTTTCCAATATGACAGAGGTACAAGTTTCGAATGCCTCCAATTATATGTCAATAGGTTGTGTTTTTGTTACTTTCTTTTCTGATTTCTACGGTTATTTGTTAAGCAAATTAGTGTTATTTATACAACAGTACAACCCTGTTGACTTTTTGATTTGATATTTTACAAATATACTTAAATTTTAAAGGAATCTTGTCTTGAATTGTGGTAAAGCGAATTGCAGTGCTTTACCTTCGGATTGATGGTAACTACTAACAAGATGCTGTGAATTAGTACATTACCAATTCCCAGAACTCCCATTAAAAGAGAAAAAGAACCTCCCACCATTTACATGGTAAATGTGGTAGCTATGTACAGACCTCTCTCCTCCCCACATGGATAGAAGTGGATAAACGGGATTTAATTCTAACTCCATCAGTTATGAGATTAATTCCTGACATGCCTTAATTTGTTACTGCAGAGTGAAATGGTTGCCAAAGTGAGGGAAGAGGTCAATAACTTACGACATGCAAATGAGGACCTTGTTAAACAGGTGGAAGGACTTCAGATGAATAGATTCACTGAAGTTGAAGAGCTAGTTTATCTTCGCTGGGTCAATGCATGCTTAAGATTCGAGCTTCGGAACTACCAAACACCTTCTGGAAAAATATCAGCTCGTGATCTCAATAAAAGTTTGAGCCCAAAATCACAAGAGAAGGCTAAACAACTGATGTTAGAGTACGCAGGATCAGAACGTGGACAAGGGGACACAGATATTGAAAGCAACTTCTCCCATCCATCCTCTCCTGGAAGTGAGGATTTTGATAATATTTCTGTTGATAGTTCCACAAGTAAATTCAGTAGTCTCAGTAAAAAGCCTAGTTTGATCCAAAAGCTGAAGAAATGGGGAAGGAGTAAAGATGATTCAAGTGCACTTTCTTCTCCAGCAAGATCTCTCGGGGGAGGATCTCCCAGCAGGAGTAGCATGAGTTATAGACCAAGAGGTCCTCTTGAAGCCCTGATGCTAAGAAATGCTGGTGATAGCATGGCTATCACTAGTTTTGGGATGGGAGAACAGGATGACCTTAATTCCCCTGAAACTCCAAAACAACAGCCTATTCGAGTTCAAGATTCTTCTCCTGACCCGCTCAATTCTGTTGCAGCCTCTTTCCACTTAATGTCCAAATCGGTTGGAGGAGTTCTAGAGGAGAAGTATCCTGCATATAAAGATAGGCATAAGCTGGCTTTGGAAAGAGAAAAGCAAATCAAGGAAAAAGCTCTACAAGCAAGAGCAGCAAGGTTTGGTGACCCTTCTAAGGCAGATAAAGATAAGTCGGTGACTTTGCCTCCAAAACTTACTCTAATAAAAGAAAAACCAGTTGCATCTGGTGACTCAGGTGACCAGTCAAATGATAACAAAATTGATTCTACTACAGTGAGCAAAATGAAACTTGCACAAATTGAGAAGCGACTTCCTAGGGTCCCTCGAGCACCTCCTAAACCATCAGGAGGTGCTCCTGCTGATAAAAATACAAACACTTCAAGTGGAGCACCAGGTATGCCACCTCCACCACCTCCTCCACCAGGTGCCCCACTACCATCACCACCACCTGCTGGTGGACCTCCACTCCCACCACCTCCTCCAGGAAGTCTTTCAAGATTGGCTGGAAGTGGTGACAAAGTTCATCGAGCTCCTGAACTAGTTGAATTCTACCAGACATTGATGAAACGCGAGGCAAAGAAGGATACACCATCTTTGATTTCTTCAACATCAAGCACCTCAGATTCTAGAAGCAACATGATTGGGGAGATAGAGAACAGATCATCATTCCTCTTAGCTGTAAGTCAAACTGCTTTATTTCTAATTCACTGCTTGTATTTCTAGTTACTTAGTTTTGACAGTGAGAGAAAAATTCGGAATCTTGAACCAGGTTAAAGCTGATGTGGAGACTCAAGGTGATTTTGTTCAGTCATTGGCTACAGAAGTCCGGGCAGCTTCCTTTACCAACATAGAAGATTTGTTGGCGTTCGTGAACTGGCTAGACGAGGAACTCTCCTTCTTAGTATGTGATTGGATCTACTGTTAAAATTAGTAATCCGTCAATTAGGGCAGTCAATTTACTAGAGGCTAAAATTTAACCATATGAGTGTTTTTAATTGCTTACTAGGCTATTAAGCAATTTGCTTACAGCTTATTTGCTTAATCTCTGCAAGGTTGATGAACGAGCTGTCCTTAAACACTTCGATTGGCCAGAAGGTAAAGCAGATGCATTAAGAGAGGCAGCGTTTGAATACCAGGACCTGATGAAGTTAGAAAAGCTAGTGAGCTCGTTCATTGATGATCTGAATCTTCCTTGTGAAGCTGCTTTGAAGAAGATGTACAAGTTGCTTGAGAAGTAAGTGTTATTTTGCAATGGCATTTCAGTTAGATTAAGAGGTCCGACCTTGAGATTTTGTGGACCTTAAGCCTACTTTAGATGACTCCTCCTACATTCAGTGTACGAGTTTATCTATATATAAATATTAAAAGCATTAATATTATGGAGACCCTCACCTATGCGAGACCTTAGGCAGCAGCCTATGCGCCACTAGTCTGCACCTGCAGTTAGAAGAGTATGCGATTTAAGTAGTTTGGAGAGATTATAAAGCACATGGAGCGCTTAAAATGGCCTTTTGTTGCTCTACAAATTTTCACAATTTCATCTTTCAGATTTATTTAATTATTGAATGATATCGAAGTACTCAAAACTTCTCATTTTCAGGGTGGAGAAGAGTGTATATGCACTGTTGCGCACACGTGACATGGCTGTTTCACGGTATAAGGAATTTGGCATCCCCATTGATTGGTTGCTCGATTCGGGAGTAGTTGGCAAGGTATGTGTTAGTATGTTATATTGACTTCATGTCAGGTTTTGGAATATGTAATGGCAATGCACAACGTGGTCATCTATTTTGTAATATTTCTTGTTTTAACTGCCTGGACATAACTGTCTATGCACAACTTGTCCTTCTATCTGCAGATCAAGCTTTCATCAGTACAATTGGCAAGAAAATACATGAAACGTGTGGCATTAGAGCTTGATGCCATGAGCGAACCAGAGAAAGAACCTAACAGAGAGTTTTTGATTCTTCAAGGTGTCCGATTCGCTTTCCGTGTTCATCAGGTGCGCCTTATCACGAAAGGAGAAAAATAATTTATATAGTCGACCTTAAACTTATTGGAAATAAGCATAATAACAAGAATTAAATTAAACTTGTTTCAGTTTGCGGGAGGCTTTGATGCAGAAAGCATGAAGGCTTTTGAAGAACTAAGAAGCCGAGCTCACGCAAAAACAGGAGAAGAGCATAAATTAGAAGAATGAACATTTTTCGTCTTCAAAATATCTAGTTTCTACACGTACATTTCATCGTTACTTGCGTAAAAGTGTAGAAACAATGTAATTTAAACTGGTAGAATCAACAGTTCATTGAAGGAAAAATGCATACTTATACAAAGGTTGGAATAACTAAGAGAGCTGTAATTCAAGCTTGTACACCATGCTGCAAATAGGAGAAATTGAATCCATTGCCCAAATCAGACTTTTATGAAGTTCTGTTCAAGAATGCTTCATTCGAGCACACATTTCCTGCATGCTACAGTTCATCAGAAGATTGGTTCTCGTGATTTTTTATTTGTTTCTTTTATTTTCTTCTAGCTGTCACTAAGATGAGTTCTAAGAAATGTAACCTCATCAGTCAAAACAGAAAGTAAATTAAAAAGATGACGTACTTGATAAAGCTTGATTTCTGACTTGTCAAAACCTGGCATGAATAGTGTCACGGTTTTATTGGATGGATCGAATTTGACTGATGATAATAAGCTCTTGCTGGTTGATACTGGTAGAAGCAATTCCAAATTCACCGGAAATTTGTGTACCAGCTTGAATTGCACATCTCCAGTAATTTAAGCACGTCCCCAGTAGCGCATTGAAGAATTTAGAGATAATGCCATAATGGGTATATAGCAGCCAAATCTATGAGGTTTTGCATGTTGTAATTTTATGAAACTTAAATCGTAATAACATATCAAAATTCTATGTGTCAAATCACCAAGAAAATTAATAATGCGGAATATATCTTAATTCTTTGGGACTGATTCTTTATTACTATATTTTAATTTCGGATCTTGAATCTTGAAGATCTCCTGCAATACCTTCATGTTTGTCTTCACTTTTAATCTTGAATTTTGCCTTCTTTGATTATTTAATTCTTGCTCTCAGACTTGCTTCTTGAAAGTTCGAGTTTGGATGCTACATGCTACTTCAACTTTTAAAATTACTAAGTTTACGTCCCAGATAATATATTAATTCAACCTTACATGCGAAATTGACTAATTAAAGCAATAAGTCATTTTTAATTAATTTCTAAATGATTAAACATATAATCCAATTTCCCTAAGTTTGAATGCCGCAATAAAATATGGAAAGTAGTAAAAACACAAGATTTGTTATGGAAGAAACCCAACGTAGGAAAAACTATGAGACTAAGCCAGTTACCTCCACTATAGTCAATCAAGGTTATAGTGCGATTCCAGTCTAGCAACTTTCTCTAGTTCTAGTTGTAATAATTCCTGTAATCTCTAAGACCCGTTGTCAATCTTTCAGTCTCACGATCTATTTCTGTAGATATTGTCTAGCCACTCCACTAGAACTCTCGATCTACCTCCTGTAGCCCACAAGATCTACTGTCCTTTTCCAATTTCCTGATTTTAAACTAATTGCCTTTTCCTAGTGGAATTCCTAAGAACCTCCTGTTTTGGTACTTTTCTTTCGCTTGAAGTTCACATCTCTCAATCCTTAATGAGAGAGTCACTTCTTCAATGAATTAAGGAAGCCGGGTGTTTTGAATTACAAAGATATGATGTTTTCTCAGAACTAGGTTGCTGGATCTCAAGAACGAATTATTGATTCCACCATTTGAATTGTGTTCTTGGATATCTTAAAGACAATATGAAAGTATTTCTCAATGATAGCACAATGTAGCAACCTCCAAAAAATCGTCCATGACTTCTGTATTTATAGTTGGGGGCAAAAAGATATCATGGGCCATGTAAAACTCTTTAATTGTGACTCAAGATTTGGCCGGATACAAATGTCGTTTGAGCGAGTATCCAGCAACAGCTGAGCAATCGTCAATATTTTTATTATAACTTTTTCTTCCGATATTCGATTAAAGTAATTGAAACTGTGTTGGAAATTTAACTCAAATGGCTACAAATCTTATAGCCTTGTCCAAATTCCAATATTTTCTATATGAGAAATACGTTTCAATTTATGACTAAGAATTTGGAACATAACTTGTGTGGTTCTTTGATATTCTTTAAACTTCAATTGCATTACAATGATCATATATGATCTTCTTGGACTCCTTCAAGGACTATACTAAAGAATTGCCAATACACTAGAAACCTAACACTTCTTGATCCATAATCTTGATTCTTGAATTCATTCTTTTTTTATTCTTGATCAGGAGTTTTGGATCTCTCTTCGATATGTTTTCTCTTATATTCTTGTGTCGATGGGATGACACAAAAATGAGAAATTACATATGAATTGGGGACCATAATCTTGTATATAGTTTTCATAGCATAAGTCCAACAAGATAATTCTTTATTAAATAATTTTAATTTTGGGTTGTGATTTTATTATAAAAATATTATTTCCTTTATTCCACATTATTTTTTATATTATTTTCATCTTTATAATATTTTTAGGGTTTAGGATGTCTCTATAAATATGTAGCTCTTTATTTAGTTTAGGTGAAGCTTTACTGCTCAGTTCCTTGTATTCTCTTCTCATATTGTCTTGAATAAAACATCGATTTCTATGCTAATTTCTCATCAATTCCTTTGCTTTAATCTTGCTTCTATCGTTGTGATCTTATCTACATCACATATTTCATATTGTATCATTAAATCTCAATTCTTGTATCGCCTCCGGGTCCAACAAGTGGTATCAAAGCAATTATATTAACTTGTTTGTGTCCCAACAAGTGATATCAGAGCTAAGCTGTAAGTTCCTTGTGATTTGGTTGGGATTTTTTCAGAGATGGCAATATTAAAATATGATATTCCGCTACTGGATCGCAATACAGTATTTTCATTGTGGCAAGTAGAGATGAGAGTTATGTTGGCGCAGATGGATTTAAACAATGCTTTGCTGGGTTTTGAAAAGATACCAACAAATTGGACATCGGAAAGACAGGAAGGCTCTATCGCAAATTCATCTTCACCTTTTCAATAACATTCTGCAGAACGTATCGAAGGAGAAAACGTCGACTGCTTTGTGGTTGAAACTTGAGCAGTTATGCATAATCAAAAGTCTCACGAGCAAACTGCATCTCAAGCAAATGTTGTATTCTCATTGCATGGCAGAAAGATGATCACTGGAAGACCACCTGACTGTGTTCAAAGAAATCGTCGCAGATTTGGAAACATTAGATGTCAAATATGATGATGAAGATCTTGCCTTGATCCTGTTGTGTTTGCTACCCAATTCTTTTTCGTCGTTTCGTGATACTATATTGTATAGTCGTGACACGCTGACCCTTGAGGAGGTATATGACGTCCTGTTCTCAAAGGAGAAGATAGAGTTGTTGGTTGGAGATCCTACATCTAGGGTTGGGGATGCTCTGGTTACTCATGGTGATAGATGGAGGGGTAGATCGAAGGTGAGGTACAACAATGTGTATTATTATTACTGCAAGAGGAAATGACACATTAAGAAATATTGTGACAAGTTTCAGATTAAAGGTGATTTACATGCAAATCATGCGGGACAATCAGGTAACGAGACTAACATTGTTTAGAATTCTTTGGATGATAGAGATGTAATGTTGGCTGTATCTGATGGAGAATCCAAACATTGGGAGTGGATTCTGGATTCTACATGTTCGTATCATATTTGTCCCAATAGGGCTTTGTTTTAAACATATGAGACGGTGAAGTAAGGTGGAGTTGTTACAAGAAACAATCAATCTTGTCGGGTTATAGGAATCGGTCGGGTCAGATTGAGGCTACAAGATGAGGCAGTGAGGACACTTGCTCAGGTTCGCCATGTTCCAGACTTGACAAAAAATTTCATATCGTTGAGTACCCTGGATGCAAAAGGGTATAAATTCTCTGGTGGAGGTGGAGTCTTGAAGGTCCGAAGGGGTGTCCGGATTATACTAGAGGGATGGAAGAGTCTCAGTTGTATATCTTGCAGGGAAACGCAGAACAAGTTAAAAGACATTTGGACAAGTTCAGTACCGTGATGGAAGTTCAATTTGATACAATACCTCTTGTGGCGAGCTCTGAGTTGGTTAAGAACATTGATAGGAAGAGCGTTGATGATTTCGCTTTGCCACCAATTTCAGCGGATACACTATGTTCAGTTGCTAGAGTTGGACTCATGGAGCGTAGGTACGATTGTGTCAATAATGTTTGGAATGCTTTAGGGGACGTTGAAGATGACAGTTCTAGCAAGGGGCCTTCTGATCCAATATGTGGTATGATTTCTACTACAGAATATGCTTCGACCCTGTTTGGTTAACAATAATTTCTCAGTGAAATTTTGGAAACCTGAGATTTGGGTTTGAGTGTCGCTTTTGGACACCGTGCGGAGAACAATGGTTTTGGTGATGGAGAGTTTGGTTACTTGTTGAGGAAATTGGCTATTTCGATGCAGACGGATTTGAAATCTTGAAGTTTTGTTTGTTGCACTGGAATTTTGAGTCAAGGTGGAGATTGTTAATTAGGTGACTCAAAATTTGGACAAAGGTTGGAAGATTGCGTGTTGTTTTGGTTTAGGAAAGAATCATTAGAGTCAAGTGAAAAATGAAAGAAATCAATTGCATCCAAAAATAAGGAAATAATATTTGGGCGCCAGATTTCTTTCTTTTATGTGGTTTTTCTTAATTTCCATATTTTAGCCTAATTTTAGGTTTGACTCGTGTATTATAAATATGTGGTTCCTCTTTCAGTTTAGTTTAAGCCAAATTGCTCTGTCGTTGTAATTCTCTCCATATTGTCGGGATTTAATAAAATTCGTCATTCATCTACTTAATTTTCCTTTTTCTACTTTACTTTAATCTTGTTTTCGTGGTACGATATTGAATATTTCATTATTGCCATTAAATATCAATCTTGCATTGCCTTTGGGATCAACAAATACAAGCCCTGACTTATATATCTAAATCCTAGAAATTAAGTTGTAAATGAAAAGGTATCCAACAAAACGTGTTAAAATGCGAAACGGGCTAGGCCGAATAATGTTGTCGCTTGAGCTACAGGCTAGTGGTAGGTGGGCAATAGCTCTGCTGCTCAAATTTCAGACGAACGATATGTCTTTGGAGAAAAATGCAGGAATCACTCAAGCGACCAGCTAGCGGCGGGCTAAAAAGATGCAGCAACTTTTCTTCTAGGTCCATAATTCTGATATTTTCAAGACCATTTCAACCAAAACTCCAATACCAACTAGAATTTGGGTCAAACTACAACAATTGTGGCTATCATTTTTAGATGCATTTGCTGTGGCCACGGACAAATTCAAAGCTCCAGTTATGTTTGTTTCCTTATTCAACTTAGTTTCCTTGAACTCTAGGTTAATATTCTACTAGTTCAAGTCGAATACTCCTCTTCAAAAGACTCATATTTGAGTTATACTTCTACCAATCTTTACCTTGACTCAAATTTCGGTGCTAAGAACGAAACTCCTAGATTTCAAATTCATCTGTATCGAAATTAACTGGCCAAATCT